TTCCGAATCTCTGGCAATACCAGGGAAGTTTTTCTCAACAATTCCCTTGAATAAAGTTCCCATACTTTTAACTATTTCTTCTTCTCCCTCAGCAAAACCTATGGTTTGTATATTAGTTTTCTTTGCATAGTCCCATATCTCTTTAAGTGATTGCTCACTCATTGTTATTCCCTTTTCTGCCTCTTTAAATGATTGGAGTAGCTTGAGAGCCTTGTCTCAATCTCTGAGAGTCTTTCTTCTCTTTGGTTTAATCTGTTGAAGCTTTCTGCTATGTTTCAAAATTCTTTAAATTACTCTTTCATCTCCTTAAGTTCTATTATATCATTTCTTATATTGTTTAGATTTTTAGGAACTTATTCATTGATTTACTGAAATATTCTTTGGCTCCTTTTTGTTGGTTTTCAACTTATTCTTCAATTCCATACATCTCATTTGCCATTCATACTCTGAATTCCATTTCTTTCAATTTAGCTATTTTCTTTGGTTGGAATCCATTACTGTAGCCACATTGTGATGACGTGAGGGTGTCAAATTGTATGTGTTTTTTTTTTTTATCATGTTGTCAGGTATTTTTGCTAGTTTCTTCTCATTTGACATCTCTTTTCTCGACTCAGTGTAAATAGGTTTAGAGAGCACTTATTGTCCTTTATTGGGACTTCTCCTGCTTCATTAGAAGAAGGGGCAGTCCCTATATTGTACATTTTTCCTAGTCTGAAATGTTGACTCAGCAGGGGAAAACTGTGTGCCCTATAAGCCTATAGTGTAGTTGTTCTGTTTTGTCCCATTCACCTGGGAATGCCACAGTTGAAGCCAGTGCTGGACAATCTTTGTGTGGGGTGTGGATTATTCCCCAGATTATTGTAGGAGGTTCCTGTTAGGGATTGGGTTAGAAACTCCCCATGAAGGGTGGCATTGTAAGGATTGCTCTTTCCAGGCTCTCCCTACAGAGGTGACAGTGGCTGCTATCTAGGTTGTTGTCATGGGTGCCTGGGCTTTGGGGACTTGCTCAAACTAGGTCCAGGTGTAATGGTAGATTGAAGCTTGCAGGTCCCTGGGGGGATGTTGGATCTCAGGACAGATCTGCTGGCCCAGGGGTGGATATTCAGGGGTGGGATCTTAGATACTAGGTGCAGTGCTGGAGTCTCAGAGGCAGTGATCTGGGCCTGGAAGGACCTCTGGAGCCACAGGTATGGAGCCTTGGGTTGAAGGGTGAGTGCCTCAGGGCCAGAATTGGGGTTTGTAGAGGCAGAGCAACCCAGGCACCAGGTGTTTCACCAGCTCAGGCACCATAGATGTCCAGTTGTATGGGCAGGGTTTGGTTCTAGCAGCCCAGGGACCACATAGTTCTCCCCTCATGCCAAGTCATGCTGAGGCGGTCACCCAAAACTTCCAAGATCAAGCCTGTAGGGACCAAGGAATCTCGTCTGCTCAGATCCCAGCATGCTAGGGGGAGGGGTGCTAGACTCCTAGACACAGGGCACAGCCCAGGGGAGCATCTATCTCTGTCTGCCCTCTTCAAAGCCTGGTAAGGGAGATATGAAGGCTATTGCTGAAAAGCTGAGTCCTGTGCTAACTTGGTGCTATGTAGCTGAGAGCTCAGGGTAGAATCAGCTGCAAAAACCTGGGATTGACAGCCACCAGATCCTTACTGCACCTGTTCTCCAGTGCAATGACCATGCACAGACTATAGGCAGCTCCCCAGTCTGTCCAGACAGAGGGCTGTGGCGGTGGAGGTAGCCCTCACACAACTCATGCCGCAGTGCCTGAGGGGTGAGCATGGCACCCCAGCTCTTCATCCTCCCTATCTTCCTCATGTGTAGATGTCTCCCCACAGATCATTTTGACCTTGTCAAGTGAATCACCTGTCAGCGTCTCCTTCACTCTGATCATCCTACAGCACTTCTCTGGGGTTTCGCAATGTTCCTTCTGATAAGAGCTATCTGTAGGGAGCATCTGCCTGCAACTTACGATCCTTTCCTTGTGAGCGGATTGCTCACAGGCTGCTTATAGTCTGTCAATTTTTCCTCATTATTCTCCTCCTTCCCTTAGGCATTTTTCTGTAAATTAGAAAGCAGCATCCCACTCAGAAGACCTGCAAAGGGAATCAGGTTGATAATCCATCTCTCGTACCCTCAGTGACCACAGGGCCCAGAGTCTGAAGGCTGTGCAGCGTTGCAGAAGAGAAGTCCACTGCTTTCTGCAGCTCCCCAGTGACCCAGACCAGAAGATAAAATGCCTCCAAGGTCCCCAGTGCTGCAGCTCTTCTTCCTGAACGAAAGCACCTCTCCACTTTCTCTTGAATCCCAAGGGCTTGCATTGACCTTGGATATCTGAGGAATGACTCAGCCTGTTTCTGCTCTGGAACAGTGACTGCTTCAGCATTTACCTCCAGCCAGCGCAGAGGCCACAGACAAAGCACCCAGTGTGATCCAAGGCACTGTGATGGGAGAAGAGGACTTTCTCTGTTTGGCCCGAGTTACTTCTTGGCCCTTTGACCAAGAGCTGTTGTAGTATCTGAGTGGCCTAGTGTCACTCACCTCACCCCACTAGTTATCCCCCAGTTAAGACAATGTGGCTGACAAGCCCCTAAGGCTGCCATTGGTCCTCCTTTGCATTGCCATGACTGGCCCCATCACGTGGGCCTGTGTAGTTGCTCCACATTTGTTTGTTGAATGGACACATAAGTGCATGAACAAATGAACACAGTTGTCACTCAAGAGAAGAGATTCCTTAGCAGCCAGTAAATAATCATCTTGGACTTTTATATCTTACTATCCCAGAGCCCTTCAGCTACCAGCAGCAGGTTTAACAAGAAACTTAGGAGCAGGGAAGCTGCCAACAGCAGAACTTGCCATGTCATGCTGTGAGTGACAGGAGCATCAGAAGCCAAGAGTTTGGGGATGGAGAATCTTTGCAAAGACCCTTTGAGAACTGAGGCAGTTGCCCCTACCATGGAGCCACAGGAAATACAGAGAAGGAGCCTGCAATGAAGGGATGGGAAGGCTAACTCAATTAATTGGCCCAAATTGAGTCTCCCTTCACTATCTGGACAGAAATATGTGGCCTTAAGAAATAGATCAAATAATGTCTCCTTGTCCATAAATCTCAGTGGATGCAGAATCTAGTCACTGAGTCTCTAGTCATCAAGCCAGGGTAGCCAATAGCCCCAGAAGCCAGCTCTGTGAAAACCACGATGTCCTGGTGTGGCAGAGTTATGCAAGGTCACTGGTGTCAGAGGTTAGGAAAGTGGAAGTTCATCCACCTCCTTCCTTCCCCAGGTTCCCCTCACGCTCAGCCTTGGAGAGGCCATGGAGAGCACACAGGCTCTCACCACCTGCCCTGGAATCCATCCAGTTTGGAGACCAGTGGTCCGTGAACTCCACATACCACTTCCATGGAGGGAGGATTCACTTCCTGGATGGCAGTGAGGTCTGCACAGCGTCTCTGGTGGGGCCAGAGACCCTCTGCACACAGGAAACCATTCTCCTGGTCAGCAGCTTTGCAAGACACTTCTGCCTCCTAGTCACTCAGTTCTCAAGGGTGACCTGAAGGAAAACCTGTGTGTGTGTGTGTGTGTCTGTCTGTCTGTGTATGTGTGTGTATGTAGTAGAGGAAAAGGATAAAATAAAAAAAGAGAAGGTGTTTTTTTATGTTTCCTTCCCTGGGTGAATATGGCTACACATGCGTTCCAAGGAAAATCTATATTAGGTCATCTGAAGTGACCATAGGATGTTTCTAGGTGACGTGACCTGATTACAGGACGGAGGATGAACACAGAACTTGAGTGTTCAATACACTGGTCAGTTTATTTTTATAACCCCCATACCCAAGGTTAGTTCCCTGTACATGAGCAACTGAGCATAGCAGCGATATCAGTCAATTCTGGAGTTGTTTCACAAGGGAACAATGGTCCCATATTCTCAGACCTCAAATGGTTACTAAAGTTAAGGTGCTGGACAGAGTTCAAAAGACAAGGCTGAGATAGGCAACATAAAACAATGCAGCCATTTGAAGTGCTTCTTGGTCTCAATCCCAGATGGTGGCTCCTCCCTGGCCCTCACGGTTGTGTATGTCTTAGGTCACCTCCCCCATGGGGAGTCTTACCCATCATTGACTACCAGCCATCAACTGGGGGCCAGTTCTTGGGAGAGTTCTTCTTGTTCTAGTTCTCATGGCCTCCAGACTCCCACCGCGGGGGCCCTCTGTGTGGGAGTTTGGAGCATTTGCTTATGTGCAACAACTCAGGCCTCTTATCATGTCACAAGGCAGCAACCATGTCTGAAGAAAATGCTGACTACCACTGCGTCAGGCAGCACACGGACATTACAGGCTATAGTGAATGATTAGTATAAGGCATAACACCAGACTCAGCCCTCAACACTAGGGAAACTTTTGCTTCATTCTTATTTCATTAAAGACAGAAACTATAAAAACTAATGAAAAACAATCAGTGTTTGAGCTGAAGTTGTAAAGACAATAATTGTTCAATGTATTGTTTGGGCATTTCAAAATCATGCTTGCTTTTCCAACTCCAGTTCCATTTTTATATTTAATTTTGAGAAAGTGTTTCATACAGATCTGTTATTAAATCAGACTCACAAGGTAAATTTTGTGTTATTTATTTATTTTTGTTTTGTTTTGTTTTTAGTTTTTTTATGTCAGCATATTACTGGGGTACAAATGCTTAGGTTACATATAAGAGCTTCAAGTGTCTTATCCCCAGCGGCAATGGCCTTTATCAAAAAGTCCCAAAACAGTAAATGTTGGTGTGAATGCAGAGAGATAGGAACACTCATACTGCTGGTGTGACTGCAAGCTAGGACAACCTCTGTGGAATGTAATACAGAGATACCTCAAAGAGCTACAATAGAACTACCATTTGACCTAGTCTTATTTATTTTTAAGGATTGTTCCCACTTTATCTCCAATGTTTTGTTCATCAAAGTCCCAGCCTTATACATTACATAATGTTTGAAAGTAGCAACTGCAAAAGCACCATATTATACAATTAAATTTTATCATGATTGGTCAATTTAAAGACAGCAAGGGCACAGCAATGGAAAACCAACAATATGACCGATGAGGCATCAGCAGAAAGTCACTTGATAATCACTTTTTTCTGCTTGTTGGTGGATTTTGTAGAAATCCATTCTGAAAGAAAAGAAATTAATGATATGATGTGTCCTTGTTTTTATTTTATGGGCTCAATATTTCTAATGTCTTTTCCAGATATTTATACTTGCATATTCTACTTTCAACTCAAATTCAAGGGATCTTCCATGATTCCCCAGGAATTAAAGGATAAAGAAAGTGTTGGGACTACTTCCTCTGGCCTGATGATATCCACAATCAGTCTAGTGAATGTATCACACCTCGTTATCCACAACTTAGTGACACTCTGTGGAGCAGATTTTCATGCCATCTTTTCTTATGAATGTAGAATGCCTTGTTCTACATTTTTGCTTCTCACAACTGTTATGCTTTTAAGACCCAGCCCAATGCACACTGTTCTAAGAAACTGTCATCAACCTCAAAGCCAGAAATGACCTTCCTTCCTACTGCATCCATTACTGCAGGTATCTCTCTTTAGAGCATTCACACTGTGCAGGCCTGTGGTTCCTAAAGCACAGCCCCCTGCCCAGGTAGGGCTCACACTTGTACTCCCTCATGGCTTTAGAGGTACCTCAGTAAATGTTTTCCTAAGAAATACTTTTTATTTATGGTTAGAGTGGCACAAGGAAGGGCTGTCTGAGGTTTGAAACCGAGAATCACTGTATATGGAGTCAAAAGACTCAGGTTCACCTGCAGCAAAAACCTGTCCCTACTTTGTCCACATCAGGAGATTCATATGAGGAGCACAACAGCTACTTTAAAATGCAATTTATTTGTATTCTCTTTAAAGAACAAATTTGAGGTGGCTTATGAGAAGGAATATTATCAAAATATTGTGTAATATAGGAACTATCTATCTTGATGTATTATTTTCAGATACATAATTATACTATGTCCCTTTGACATTAGTCCCCAAAGTTTAAGACCACTTGCTCTCCAATTTAAGTAACTTTCATGTGATCAAATTGCACTTTATCCATGGCAGAGTCAAGTCCACAATTTACTGTCCTACCTTCAGAAGGAGAAGAGTTACTGTGCTTAGAGGAGTAAGCTGCAGTATAAGCCAGCCATGGTCACACCTGGAGCAATGTTATTAATAGTAACAGTGTAAGCATTGGACCTGGGCATGGGGAGTCATGATGGTTTTCTGGACACTGAGAAATTCTGCAAATCCTGGTGTGACAGCCAAATCCTCAATTTAAATTGTTTGTCAGTAGAATACCTTTATCAGTTCCTTCAGGGGATATCCACCGCAGCGTATGCTTAGCTTCCAGTTGCTGGATTTTTCAAGGCCTCCTTCAACTTCAAATTCCCTTAGAGTCAACAAACTTCCAGTCTCACTGTATATACACTTCTCTGAAGTTCCTATAAGACCAAGACAAGCTGAACTCTCCACCATGAAAACACCCAAACTTGGCCTCTTCCGACACTGGATCAGGAGCCACCACTTTGGGTTCAGGATCAGTAGCAGGAGAGTCTGAATTGTCCTCTTGGACATCAGGAGTCCCAACTCAGGCTGAAAGGCTGGGGAAGGAGGGAACTCCCTGCCATGAGTGTATAGTTCTCTGACCTTCAAGCAGTGAGTCCTGTGTGACAACACCCAGAGAGGACTCTTGGAGCTGGCTCTAGATTTCCTCTGGACTTTTCCCCAGGTGCCTTTCCCATTTGCTGGCTTTGCTTTGCAACCTTTCAGTCTTACAAACCTGAGCTGTGAGTGTGACTTTGTACTAAGTCCTAGGAGAGCTCCTAGCAAAGTCTTGGGGCTGGTCTTGGGACCACCCGAAGCAGATATCTACTCCCCAACAGTGTGCTGTTTGTGTGGGTATTTTTCAGTTGAAAATCCTAGAAGACCAGGAAACTCACCTTTTTTCAATAACTCCTTATATAGAGTCCCCTTCGCTTTACCACAGGTCACAGGAAGTTTTGGAAGTTGAAAATTCATGTTTTTATCTCTGGGAATTCTTGGACCTGCAAGGAAGCATTTTTTTTCATTCCATCTTCCTCTACAACTGGGCAGCGTCTCTCCCATTGTCTTCAGATTTTTCTTTTATAATTTAAAATAATTGCAGGGATTTCTCCCAGGAATTAGTTACACTTTAATGTCTTAAGGTCTTTCTTTTATGGCAGATTAGATACCGGTAGGTAATGTCATCCTCTGCTCCACCCTCCAAAATCCCACCCAACAGCCTGAAGAGGCAGATTCTGAGCTCTCTATTTGGTAGCCCCATCCATCACTCCCACAATCACTTTCTCCCTGGTGATTTGAAGGGAGATTTCCAGTCTTATTATTGTTTTGAAGTTATGGAGATGGAGTAAAACCTGTCAAATTTTAGTCTTGTCTCCCTATTTGAGGCATTGCCTGGGGGAACAGAGAGCAAGATGGCAGCATAGCAGCCAATGGGGGACCAGGGAGACTGGTGTCTGTCTCCCCCTTAGCCGTCTGCTTTGCTTCATTGTCCTTCACCTGAGCTTTCTCTGTGGCTCAAAGGGAGGTCAGGCCAGGGTTTGTAGAAAAAAACTGCTCACTGCAGGAGGGGAATGAGCAGACGTTGATTAATGGGAACAAACCTACAGTTAGACAGATGAAATAAGACCTGGTATTTGATAGATCAGTAGGAGATGTACAGTTAATATTAATTGTACACTCCAACATAGCTAGAGGAGAATAATTCAAATGTTCCTAGTGTAAAGATCAGTATTTTAAGTGATGAATATCCCAACTACCCTGATTTGATTATATGAAAGTATCATAGTATCACACGCACACCCAAAACATGTACATCTATTATGTGTCAGTCAATGAGTCAATAAAAATGATACTTAACGTTGCTCAGGGAGCCCCACACACCATGTGAGTGAGGCACTAGGGATTAGATTCAGCTGAAGGAGGTACTGAAGTTCTTAAAATGAATTTGTGGCCAAGTTTATGGCTCCCATATTAGCTTCCCCTGAGCCAGTTAAGAAAACTGATTTTTCACTCAGAGCACAGAGTATAAAATAAAAATCTATGTGGTTAACTATTAAAAGTGTTTTGATCACTTCTTTTTACCTCTTCTTTTGCCTGTTCTGCTGCTTCTTCCTTCCAAAGCTCTGGGGATGGCAGTTTTTCTCTCTGAGAAAGTAGAAAAATAACACCAACATCTCTTGTTTATGACATTGCATAACAAACAGTAGTGCTTTATAAAAACACTATTCAATTATAACTTTTCAGGGAATTTGTAGAAATTAGGGCCACAGGTCTACGAGACATAGAATTAAAGGTAGCACAAAGGACTGACTTTAAAAATATCTCAGAAGAATGTAGTATGTGATATATTAATATATGCGGATTGGGTGTGTCCAAAAAAGAGTGAGTCATTCCAGATGCATGTCTAGGTCTGTGTCCTTCGAATGTGTTTGAATGTTGATGTCAGCGACACCAAGTGAAAGCTCTCTCTTCCTGAAGGTTTATGCCCAACGCAGTGTGCCCATGGCTTCTATCCTGCCCTGTGCAGGACCCAGGAGAAAACCTCTTCCTGATACCCCAAATGAATGTTCTTTCCTTCTAACAGATTCCAAGCACAGTAAGCGGGAAAGGATTCTCTCCTTCAGTCAAGCACAAAGAAGACTAGGGGTTGGTGATGTTATTTTAGTTTCTGGGCTTTTGTCATACCAAATACCCAGAGATTTTTTTAACCCATCAAGATAAAAGTGGTACTATAAGACATGTATTGATAATTTACATCCCAAGAGGAATCACATCCCAAGATGAAGCATATTCTATTTCATAAGGTGTTTCCCTCAGGAATTTTATTAAGACATTGAGACAAGTAGACAAAATAGATTACTAAAATTGCATAAAATAATTATAACCTTGGTTATTGAACTAAAGATTTAAAAGAAACAAGTGGGGGAAATGGAGACCTCAGGAAGGTAAATAAAGCTTTCTTAACACTCCTTGTCTCTCAATAAAAATTACTCTATATTTATCTGTATCAAAGAAAGTGATTGGGCCAAGTGTGGTAGTTGATGTGGCTGCCAGGGCTAAAAGATCATCCACACAGGTGTGCCTCTGTGTAGGACCCTCCCTCCTGCCACTCACGGTGCTGAAGGGGTAGGTGCACACAGGAGAACTGGCCAGCTCTAACTCTCTCCTGCCCTCCCTCCTCCTCCCCACTGTCCCAGGAGGAAACACCTGTGTTCTGCCTGCTTTCTCCTTCCCCATAAGGTGGTCAAACTGCAGCCCTGATGCTGGTTATAACCTGGGTCTGTTCAGTGATGGCCATTATCAACCAACACATATTCTCTTGTTCTCAGGCTCTGTCTGCTTAAATCTCCCTTCCAGGACTAGACGGATAGCTAGACTCTCCTTTCAGTCAAAACCTATGGAGGGCAAACAACTTTAGAGCAAAGACAGAGCAGCTCATTTTACTCCCTCCCAGTTCTTGACATGGAGAAGTTTGGGCTGAAGACCAGATGATATGTAATAAAGTGCTGCTGAACTTTGCTTTACAATGGTTCTTTGTCAGCCAGCTTGTTCTAGCATCTTGTTGCTATTTTACCTCCAGTAATTAAAATGCCTGGACAAAATACAATCTAGCCATTCTTAGATAAAAAAATACAAGCCAAGTATCTGCAGTCTTCAGAAAACACATCTAACCTACAGGGATATGTTTAGACTAAAGGCAAAGAGGTGGCAAACAATATTTCAGGCAAATGGAAGCCAAAAGAAGGCTGGCGTGGTGGTTTTGATTTCATATAACTTAGTTTTGAAATCAATAAAACTAATGGAAGACAAAGAAGGTCACTATATAATGGTTAAGGGTACAGTTCAACAACAAGACATAACAATTCTAAATATGTGTGCACCGAACTTAGATGTACCAAGATTCATAAAGCAAACTCTACTTGATCTAGACAAATACATAAAAAACAACATCATAATAGCTGGAGACATTAACACCCCACTGACAGCATAGCACAGATTTTCCAAACAGAAAATAAAGAATAATGGATTTACACAGAACTCTAGAACAAATGGGCCTGACTGACATTTACAGGACATTCTACCCCAAAACCACTGAATATACACTCTCCTCATCAGCTCATGGGACATTCTCTAAGATTGACCAAATCCTAGGACACAAAACATGTCTCAAAAAATTTATAAAAATAGAAATTATACCATGTATCTTTTCAGATCATGGTGGAATAAAAGTAGAAATCAATCCTAACAGAAACTCTCATTCCTACATGAAGTTATAAAAATTAAACAACTTTCTGCTGAATGATCACTTCATAAATGAAGAAATCAAGATGGAAACCAAAAGATTCTTTGAACTAAATGAAAAGGGAGACACAGGTTATCAAAATCTGTGGGACACAGCTAAAGCAGTCCTGAGAGGAAAGTTTATTTCCATAAATACCTATATCAAAAAGTCGGAAAGATCACAAATACACAAACTAATGAATCGACCCACAGAGCTGGAAAAAGAAGAACAGACCAACTCCCAACCAAGTAGAAGAAGTGAAATCATTAAGATTAAATCATAACTAAATGAAATTGACAACAGGGAAACTATATGGAAAATTAATAAAACAAAAAGTTAGTTCTTTGAAGAAATAAACAATATTGGCATGCTTTTGGTTAGACTAATGAAAAGCAGAAAAGAAAAATCTCTGATAAGCTCCATCAGGAAAATAAAGGAGAAATTACAACTGATGCCACAGAGATACAAGATATAATTTATGAATACTACAAAAACCTTTATGCATACAAACTAGAAAATGTGGAGGTAATGGACAAACTCATAGAAAAACACAACCTCCCTAGGCTCAACCATGAAGAAATAGAATTCCTGAACACACCAATATAAAGTACTGAAATTGAAACAGCAATAAAAAACCTTCTGCACAGCCAAAGAAACAGTCATGAAAGTAAACAGACAACCTACAGAATGGGAGAAAATTTTTGCATCCTACATATGGATGAAGGGCTGATAACTAGAATATACTTAAAACTCACGAAAATCAGCAAGAAAAATTCAAATAACCCTATTAAAAAGTGGGCAAAGGACTTGAACAGAAACTTTTCTAAAGAAGACAGAAGAATGGCCAACAAACATATGAAAAAATGCTCATCATCTCTATCATCAGGAAATGCAAATCAAAATAAAATGAGATATCACTTACTCCAGTGAGAATGGCCTATATCAAAAAGTCCTCAAATAACAAATGCTGGTGTGGATGAGGAGAGAGAGGAACACTCCTACACTGCTGGTGGGACTGCAAACTAGTTCAACTCTTGTGGAAAGCATATGGAGATACCTTAAAGTGATACAAGTGAATCTACCATTTGATCCAGCAATCCCATTGCTGGGCATCTACCCAAAAGATCCAATGACACTCTACAAAAAAGGACCTGCACTCGAATGTTTATAGTAGCACAATTCATAATTGCAAGGCTGTGAAACAGTCCAAGTGCCCATCAATCCAAGAATGGATTAATAAAATGTGGTATATGTATACCATGGAGTACTATTTAGCTCTAAGAACAATGGTGATATAGCATATCTTATATTTTCCTGGTTAGAGCTGGAACCCATACTACTAAGTGAGTTTCCCAAGAATGGAAAAACAAGCACCACATATATTCACCAGCAAACTGGTATTAACTGAGTAGCACGTAAGTGGACACATAGGTACTACAGTAATAGGGTATTGGGCAGGGGGGGCGGGTATATACATACATAATGATAGTGCATAATGTGCACCATCTGGGGGATGGTCATGCTGGTAACTCAGACTTGTGGGGGGAGGGGAGGAAAGGGCATTTATTGAAACCTTAAAATCTGTACCCCCATAATATGCCAAAATAAAAAAAAAGCCATATATTCCAAATTTCTATTTCCAAATTCAAATTTCTATTTGGAATTTCTATTTAAGTTCCAAATAAAGAGCTAAACATAAAATGACAAGATGCAAAAATACTAGAAAAAAAACCTTCCTAAAAAGAAAAATCCCAGACCAGATGGTTTCACATCTGAATTTTATCACACCTACAAAGAAGAAGTAGTGCCTGTCATGCAGAAATTATTCCACAACATCAAGAAGGATGGAATCCTCCCTAACACATTTTATGAAGCAAACATCACCCTGATACCAAAGCCAAGAAAGAATGAAACAAAAAAAGAAAACTACAGAGCAATATCTCTTATGAATATAGATGCAGAAATTCTCAACAAAATCCTAGCTAACTGAAGCCAGGTGCTTATCAAAAAAATAATCCATCACAATCAAGTGGGCTTCATCCCAGAGATGCAGGGATGGTTCAACATATGCAAACCTATAAATGTAATTCACCACATAAAAAGAAGCATAAACAAAGACCATATGATCCTCTCCATAGATACAGAAAAAGCATTTGACAAAATTCAACACCCTTTTATGATAAGAATGCTTAACAAAATAGGCATAGATAAGGCTTACCTAAAAATGATAAAAGCCATATGACAAACCCACAGCCAACATCATACTGAATGGGGAAAAATTGAAAGCATTCCCACTCAGAACTGGAATAGGCAAGGTTGCATACTATTTCCACTTCTATTCAACATAGTGCTGGAAGTCTGTGCTATAGCAATCAGACAAGAGAGTGGAATTAAGGGACCCCAAATGGAGGCAAAAGAGATCAAACTCACACTCTTTGCTTATGATATGATATTATACCTAGAAAACTCCAAGGATTCAACCAGGAAACTCCTTGAATTGATAAATGAATTCAGTAAAGTCTCAAGATAATAAATCAATACAGACAAATCAGAGGCATTCATATACTCCAATAACAGTCAAACTGAGAACCAAATCAAAGATTCAATTCCATTCACAATAGCAACAAAGAAAATAAAGTACCTAGGAATACATTTAACTAAAGAGGTAAAAGACCTCTACAGGGAGAACTATGTATGAATCACGGAGGAAAGAAATAGCAGAGGACGTTAACAGGTGGAAAACCATACCATGCTCATGGGTTAGAAGAACCAACATTGTTAAAATGTCTATACTACCCAGAGTGATCTACACAGTCAATTAAATCCCAATTAAAATACCATCATCATTTTTCACAGATATAGA